CTCAGCCATTGCTCTGCGCCGCTCTGCCTCCTTCGGGTCCTGCTGCTGGATCTGCCTGCGCGCCTCTCCGCTGTTGAGCCATGCCAGGCGGCAGATCTCCTCCGCCGCTCGGCGCTGGCTGCGCTGGCGGCTCGGCCCTGACACGTTGCTGAACAGCCTCTGGTAGACGCCAGTCTGCAGCGCCCTCAGCACATGGGGCACGCACGCAGCCTGCCACGATGGCCAGCCCTGTTCGCCCTCTTTCTGGCTCCAGCAGCCTGCCAGCGACTGCATGAGCTGCTCGAGCCTGTTCCTCTTGAGCCACGCCACCTCCTGCTCGGGGTCCTGGTCAGCTTCTCCTTTGTTGTGTCGAAGCCTTGGGTGGAGCAGGCCGGCCTCATCGGCTTCGCTCACGAACTTCATCAGGTCGGGCCCCACTGGCTTGGTCAGCGTTACTGCCACCTGCACAGCCGTCTGCATCAGGCTGTTGGCGTCGTGCCTCTGATCAGGTCCTGCCATGGTCTCCATCTCCTGGTTGCTCGGCTCACCCTCCAGCTCTGGGGCTTCACTGTCTGGGGTCGAGTCATCATCGTCCAGGTTCTCTGGTGACCACTCTCGGCTGGCCTCCGCTGTTCTCGGCAGCGGCCTGCGCTCGCTGCTGGGGATGCTGTGCGCTAGGATGTTGTTCCTTCTGTTCTGGAAGGCGTCCATGTGCACTCTTGCTGCCTGCTGCCTTGTACCGTACGGGAGGGTAAGCATCCTGGTCATGAGCCTCCGTCGCGCGCGGTGCGTGTTGCGCCAGACTTCTTCGCAGAAGTCCTTGATCTGCTGAAGCTCCTGCACGGTGACGGCCCTGGTCTGCTCTTGCGTGTCCGTTCCGCCACCCACATTGGTGATGGCCAGGAGGTACGGTACGCAATGCTCCATCCAGTCGTCCATGTCGTCCCAGACGTCTTGGTCGACCATGTTCATCCACTGCTCCGCGTAGCCCTCCATGTGGTCCACGAGCCTCCAGCTGGCGTGGACGACAGAGTGCGGATGGCTGGGTGGCTGCTGTGGAGCTGGCTGCGGGTCCCCTGCCTCTGAGATGTCCCCGTCCAGGTCGGTCGCCTCGTGGTTACTCAGGCCGAGCTTGAAATCACCAGGCCTGGTGATCTCGTTGAGACCCTCATCAGCTGGGTCTGCTGCTGGCTTAGCTCCTCTTGGCAGCTTGCCCCTCTGCATGCCCGCCAAGACCCGCCGCCCTGCTGCTGTTGGGGGCTGACATGGCCTTGCCAGCTTCCTTGCCACTCCTGCCGCGATTCTGCTCTTGTGGTCCCCAAGGTAGCTGGTGCCGCCACATTTCTCGCACCAGAGCCAGCCATGGGTGAACTGCGTCTTGTGGGAGACGTGCACCACCTGCGTGCCGATCTGCACCGCCTTGAAGTCGAGCCTGACGTTGCCGTGCTGGTCCTGGTGGCCGCCGTACTTCCCGAGGCATTCTCCCGTCTCTGCCAGCCAGTCTCTGATGCTTTGTCCTTTGGCTGGGCCACTGCGACACGTTGCACACCACCATCGCGGATGTAGCTTGCGCAAGTCGTGTCCCAGCTGGGCTGCCCTGTCCCTCGCCGTCTGCGGCTTTCGGCGCTTGGCCTTGGGACGCTGAGGGGCCTTGTTGGGGTCCTCCACCGTCACCGCCATGTTGATGGCCAGCAGCCGGTTTTGCACCGCCGTGGCGATCTGGTCCCTGATCTGCTGCTGCGCCATGATGGCTGGATCCAGTGCTCCATGCTCCGCTCCCCAGCCTGCGTACTTGTCTGCCATCTCGTTTCCTATGACCCACCAGGTGGGACCATTCCACCTCTCCAGCTCAGCTGGGTGCTCAACCCGGTGGCTTGGGATGTGGTGGCCCATGATGGTGTCCGTGCTGTTCTGCAGCTGCTGCTACGTCTGGAGCCAGAGGTCGTAGTTCGTGCTCCTGTCGTCCAGATCCTCAGGATCCTGGATCTGCTTGAGTGCGTCCAGGGCGTACTTGCAATCGCTGGCTATGTTGAGCCCCCTGGCTGTCGCCGCCGTGGTGTACCCGATGGCTTTGCTCGTGGCGGTGAGCTCTGCCCGTGGCACCGTGTGCGGCGCCCTGATCGTGCCGTACCAGGCGGCCACTTCCTGCGGACGTCCTTGTTCGTCGAACCTGAAGGCCACCACTGCCCAGCCGCAGCGTCTGAGGCGGGGGTCCTTGGCCGTTTCCCCTGCACCGCCTGAGCCGTCCGTGAAGACATAGTCTGCTCGAACCTTGTACCCTGACTGGGCTGCCGCCTGAGCCTCTTCGCTGGTGCAGAAGATCTGCGCCGCCTTCGCCGCGTCCTCGTCTGGGTCGACCTTGGCTGCCCAGGCCGCTGGCGGGATGCCTCGGAGCCAGAAGTGCAGGTCTTGCCGCTGGTCCAGCGCGTCCTTCGCCTTCTTCGCCAGGTCGGTGTCATTGCTGTGCCCTATCTCTGCATTGGCAGGGCATGCGTAGTAGCGGTGTTCCTCTGTCTCTATCGCCTCGCCGCATCTCGCGCAGGTGTCGTCGCCTTCTTGGTTGAGGTTGGCCGCCCTGCGACGCTCCCTGGTCCAGATGCCCGCCACCGCTATGGTCTCCAGCATGGCTGCCTCTGCATGCTGTCCTTTGCGCCTCCTCCTCCTCAGGTGGCGCTGCAGCTGATAGAGGTCGCCTCCAGCCTGCAGTCCTTCCCCACTGCGATGGCCAGCTGCCGGCTGCCAGAGCTGCTGCTGCGCGCTCCGCTGGACTTCATGCAGGAGCGCGCCGACGTGAGGAATGTCATCTGGCTTGTAGGCCCACTCGTCACCTGCTGGGCTGATCCAGCTGTCCAGGCGTCGCGGTATCCAGCCTAACCCAAGCAGCTGCGCGATGACCCCTGCCATAGGCCCCTTGACCTGCTGCCACCTGCGGTTGGGTTCCAGGGCGTCCAGCTTGGCGTAGAGCAGGAGACAGCCTCTCTGGTACCTCTTGAGCTCCGTCGGGTGGTCGACTATGGTGAGCCGGAACTGCTTGATCTGGTCGCCGATGGCTCGGGTTACTGCCTCTTGCATTCCCCTCTGGAGCAGGAGGATGGTGGACGTGCAGCGTCCAGCCTTGTGTCCGCCTGTGAGGAGCGCTGCCTCCGTAGCCCTGGCCGACTTCGCCTCCGTGGGCGTGATGCCGTGCGCTGGTAAGTCCCAGGCCTGCTGGCAGTAGGCACCTGCTGAATAGACCTTTGCCGCGCCTCTGGCGTCCGTCTTCGCTAGGTCCTTGAGCTTGGCCACCCTCTGCTTGGCCTTGGCCTGGCGCGCGGCATGGGTTGGGTAGGTGCGTCGACGCCCCAGGGGCGAAGCCACTTCCGAGCGCCGATCGAGCTCAGGAGCGCCACTTCCTGAGCTCCTCCTCCTCCTCCTCCGTGCGCCGCTCGGGATCCTGAAGCTCCTCCTCCTTCTCTTCCTTGTCTTCCTGAGCTCATTCTCCCTCCTCATGAGTTCCTTTTCTTCATCCTCGCCTCGTCCTCGTCCCCCTCCATATCCTGTGACATTAGTTTCGCTGTTTTTCAGCTCTTGTGAAAAGGCAGAGTGCAAGGTTTACTAATTTCGGGAAACTAAGATTTCAGATTTTCCAGAACCACGAACGTGCAATACATTGGACTGCGTGAGGTAGAGATGTTTGGAAGTCTACGGCTTTGCATGTGTAGAAACACGTGGTTCTGCACATGTGGATGAGCGCTGTTTGAACAGAGGCACGCCTTGTTTGCCGAGTTCCCGCTCCCTGCTGCCCCTCCTCGTGCGATTTCAGTGCAAAGCCATTTTGGCTGCAGCCCTTTAGCTTGTGGCGCAACGTCACGGACCGCATGAATTCGTTTGTGTCGCCCTACATTCAGCAGCGCGTATTCATTTATGCTACTGCGTTCACGTGGGTGACATCCGATGGGGCAATAGTTCTGCGGCATAGCAGCTTGGAGACGTGGGCGCACCAATTCAGAGATATGTCGCCGAGGCGCAGTCTCCGCACTGTGCTTCAGAGAGTGCCAGTGCGTTCGTTCCAGCGCGGGGCAGACGAATACGAGTTTGATGTGTTGCGCAGCGCTTTCGAAGAGGCTGGCATCTGCCTCGATTGGAGATCACTCGTTTCTCGGGTCCGAAGGCACCATGGGCTACCTCCATTGGCTGAACCTGCAACCGAAGATCGTGCCCTAGTCCCATGCGATGGCACCCCAGAGTCTGCTGAGTCATATGTCTCTCGCGGCGCTGCCTCCTCAGCTTCCTCTGCCACGCGTGCCAGCCTCCACGACCAGTCCAAGGAGGATCTTCTCTCGATCAATGCGGAGCTTGAGAGACAGATCAGATCACTGCAAAGGAAGATTGATCGACTGAACCGCAAGGTGCGCACAGGAGCGCAGAAGGCTCGGCGGCGTGCCAAGCAGCCTTCGGTCTCTCGCTCACGTGGGGGCACTTCGCAAAGTTTAACCCTTGCGCTGCCCACGGGTGGGCCGACGAGGCGGAGAGCAACTGCCCCTGACCAGGGCGTAGATATCTGGCATGCGCCCATTAAGAGAGGCAAGCGGTGTGGAGAAAGATATCTTAGCTGGACTGGCGGCTTCTCCCTATGCATCCGCAGGTGCATGTCGAACGTGGCAGCTCACGCGCTCGGTTTATGCCTTGGGATGGACATTCACAGGACAACCGTTTGCAGGTGGGAAGTGTGGTTGCGAGCCGCTCTCGTTGCGTCGGCCAAACACTTCCACGCTTCTTGCCGAGCAGAGATGGCTCTCTCTACTAGTGGGCTTCACGTTCAGCTTCATTGTCTCCGTGGTGACGCAACTAACGCCTGCATCTGGAACAGGCAAAAACTTAGATGTGCAGAGCTTTCGTCGTATTACGTGTTGGGCGGCGTGTATCCGGACACTGATTGGGATGCGTTTAAGTCGTGCATATCTCACAGAACAATATTGGGCGATCTCCAAGTTGTTAAGGGAGGCGGTGGTGAGTATACCCATTCAATTGTTACAAAACAGATGGACTCCGTGGGGTTTCACGACTGGGGGTCATGCGGGTCTCAGTTTTACTGCATCGAAGATTCGCGCGATCGACTTCCACTGCCGCTATCAGATGAGCCTGGCGAGCCTGGCGGGCCTGAGCCCGCCGTTGACGGCGGCGCGGGCGCCGCCGCTGGCTCCGTTGACCTGGCCCCCTTCGCTGACGTCGCCGCGGCGCCCGTGGACTCCGTGGACGTCGACGAGGGCGTGCTCACGATCCTCGTTCTCGGCTCCGACGCCGGCGGGGACGAGAAGAAGAGCAGGCGCCAAGTGCACGCCGACACGCGCGAGCAGCCCCGCACTCTGGTGCCGCGGGGGTTGAAAATTCAGTGGGCTTTCGCCTCTCCGACGACCTGCTGTTTGCTTACTCCAGCATGTCCTGAGGGGAGGTGGCAGATAATAGTAGCAGCGTGGCCGCGACCCCAGCTGCCCCCCCCAATGACGCGCGCGCGTTTCGCCTGCCTGCCCGCAGGTGTTCGATGGCGACTGCTTGGCCCACCAGTACCACTTGATCGTGCAATCCGAGCAGGCGCTGATGAACGATTTTATGCAGGAGCGCGTTGGCATGAAGCGCCCTCCTCCGCTTCTTCTTCCTCCTCCTCCTCATTATTTTTCTTCCCTTGCTCACCTCCTCGTCCTCGACTCGTCCTCCCTCTCCCTTCTCATCTTTTTCCCTTGCCCACCTCCTCGCCCTCCCGTGCTTTTTCTTCACTGGCCCACCTCCTCGCCCTCCTCATCCTCATTTCTTTTTTTCCCTTGCCCACCTCCTCTTCTTCCTCCCCCCTTTCTTTTCCGCCTCCTACTCCTCCCTCTCCTGGATCTCTCCATCTCCCTTCCTGTCCATCCTCAGTCTTCTCTCCCTCCTCATTCGCTGATTCGATGCTACTGTCTACTGATCCCAAGGTACCTCCCGAGCCTGACTAAACTGCTGCTGTGCTGGAGGGGCCGCGCTGTGAAGGTGTGGGAGACTTGGGCAGCTGTGTACTCCCATTCCGACGCTTCTGTTTGCAAGTGCATCCCTCCGCAGATCATCTCGGGGCGATGGGGCAACGCGAGCCGCTGCGAAGCCTACGTGCTACAGGCGCTGAGCAGCGGCCCTCAGCAGATCAGGAGGGTGCTGCCGATCGCCTTCAAGAGGACGCCTTCCAAGAATTCCAAGAAGGCGCCTGCGGGGTGGGCAGGGGGATCGCGTTAGGGCGTTAGGCCTTGGAGGGCCCCTCGTCTCTGTCCCCCTCCTGCCTCTCTCTTTCTTCGTCTTCTTCTTTTTCTTCTATCCCCGCTTCCGTCTGTGCCCTTCCTCTTTCCCCCCCCCATCCTCTCCTCGCCCTCCTCGTCCTCATTCCCCTTCCTCGCTCGCGCCTCCGCCTCTGACCAGGAAGCCCGCGCATGCCCGCTCCTCGGTTTCTGCCTGGCCCTTGCATCTGACTCCTGCTCCTCATCTTAGTCTTCCTGTCCTGTCTTCTGGCCCCCGCCGCCGCCGCCCTGCCGTTGCCGGGCCGGCGCCCCCCCGCCCTCCCGCCGCCTGGGAGGCCAGCGCTGGTCTCGAGGAGGCCCGGGCGGAGGTCGCCGCCAGCCACGAGGAGCAGTACTCGAAGTGGACCTCCCAGGCAGCGGCGGAGAGAAGGGGGGGGGGGGCTCGAGAGGAGAGAGAGAGAGAGAGAGAGAGAGAGACATCACAATAAAGACGGATAGAGAGAGAGAGAGAGAGAGAAACAAAGAGAGAGAGAGAGACTGAGAGACTGAGAGAGAGAGAGAGAGAGACTGAGAGAGAGGAGAGAGAGAGATATAGAGAGAGAGGGAGAGAGAGAGAGAGAGAGAGGCAGAGAGAGAGAGAGACAGGCAGGCAGGCAGGCAGACAGACAGACAAACATACAGACAGACAGGCAGACAGCGAGACAAATACAGAGAGAAAAAGAGATAGACACAGAGAAAGAGAGAGAGAGAGAGAGAGGGAAAGAGAGAGAGAGAGAGAGAGAGAGAGAGAGAGAGAGAGAGCGAGAGAGAGAGAGAGAGAGTGAGAGAGAGAGAGGTAAAAGAGAGAGAGAGAGAGAGAGCTAGGTGAGCGGCCTGGGTCATGAGTCATGGTGCGTTCAGAAAGCCTCGAGGATATGGCATGTTTCTAATTCCCCATCCGCTGTCGCCCGCAATTGTTTGTTTTGGGGGGGGAGGAGGAGGAGGAGGAGGAGGAGAAGGAAGAGGGGGAGGAAGAGGAGGGTGAGGATGAGGAGAGGGAGGAGGACACGGAGAAGGAGGAGGAGGAGCCAGAAACGCTGCATCTTCGAAGCGCCCCGTGGCCGCTGTGATATTTTGGAGGCGCGGAGGAAAGGGGGAGGAGGAGGGGGGTGGGTGAAGGAGGAAGAGGCGGAGGTGTGGAGGCGGAGGAGGAGGAGGAGGGGGGCGAGGGGGGGGCAGGGGATGCACGCGCCACGTCAGTTTTTCTTCTCTCTCTCTCTCTCTCTCCGCAGGCGTTGGACGCCTTGAACCTTGATCTGTTCCTGCTCCTGATCAAGATCGGGCACCGCAGCAGGGCGCCGTTGGATCACCATTACTTTTACTTGCTCGGCGCTAGGGATCACCTGGAGCCGACCGCGTTGGCTGGGCTCGTCTGGCACAAGGCTGACGAGTTGCACCGCGATCTCCTGGACCTCGCCGATCTTGACGGCGGCGCATGGGCTGACATCTGGCAGGAGGCGTCGGCTTTGTCAGGCGTTGACCAGATGCGCCTCAGATCGTTCGTCCATCGTTTAACGTGCTCTCACGCTGCTGACTATGGCATGCGGGTCGCCCAACTCTGTCGGGAAGACCCGTACCGCCTCCTGTGGTTCGCGAAAGAGCTGCCCGGCACAGCGTGCAATCGCCGCCGCGCAGTGGCAGCAGACATCCTTGCGAAGCCGCTTGACCAGCTCCACGCCACCGCCAGGAAGATCAGGTTGTTGTTCCCTGCTTCCTTGTCTCAGTGCAGGGCGCATGGGACAGTGCAGCTGGCCATGTGGAATGTCATGCGGCTGGTGAGCGTCACGTGGCGCGCTGACACCCAGGAGATGGAGGGCGTCAACAGCCTGCTTCAAGCTGTATGTGCCAGGAGCCCTCGCGTCTCATTGCCCCTGGTAGACGCTCGCGTGGCAACGCGGAAATACATTGGTCTCGGCAACAGGGCTGCCCACGACCGCAAGTGGTCATCCATCGCGCCTTACGCGGAGACCGTGCTGAGGGACGCCTTGGACAGCGTCGACGGCATCCAGCGCGTCCTGCAGAACATGCGTCGTTTTCACCCCCCAGAGCCGTTGAATCACTTCAGGCCGATGGCCCACCAGGTGATCGCTGGCAAGATGATGCCTCGAGCAGAACTGCACTGGGTCGCTGGCTACGCGGCGGTCATCAATCGGGAAGTGAGGGACCGCACGAAGGAGAACCCTTGGATAACGCCGATCGTGACGATCGACGGGTCGCTGTGGGTCTGGGGGCGAACGTGACCCTTGTGCTTCCTTATCTTTTCTTGCAGCCTCAACCCATCGTCGTTGCATTCCTCCTTGCTTCTCCCCTGCCCTCTCCACCTCCTCTTCCCCAATTCCTCGTCCCTCCTGCTGCTTCTGCTGTTGCTGCTCATCGTTATGTTACCACCTCTTCCTCCACCCCCTCCTCCTCCTCCTACTCCTCCTCCTCCTCCTCCTCCTCCTCCTCCTCCTCCTCCTCCTCCTCATCACTCCTCATCCTCCCCCCCTCCTCCTCCTTGCCCGTGTCTGAACGCGGGGTTCAAGTGCGGCGCTGCCCCCGCTTGTTCTCGCAAGGTTTCGGTTTGAGTTCGGCAATTTGGCTCGCGGTGTCTTGTTTGTTCCAGCGAGGTCCCAGGGCCCAAGCGCAGGGTTTGGCGCGGCCTCTTCGGGCCCGGGTTCCGCGTCCCACGCCCCCTTCTCCCCTTCTCCCTCCTAGTCGCCATCCCTCCGTCCACCGCAGGTACGGCGTGGTGCCGTACTTCCTGGAGGGGAGCATGGATGGCGGGCGCTTGCGCATCGCCCGATTCGCATCCACTTCTACGCCCGCGACCTCTATGACGGCGGCGTCGATACTGCAGCAGTACCACGACCTCTGCGCCACACAAGGTATGACGATTTCGATGTCGATTGCCTCCGTGGACACGTCCACACCCAGGGACGCCCCGCTCGTGCTCGAGTTCGAGCGAAAGATTGCAGTTACGAACGTCGCCCCCCGCATCCCTGCAGCCAGCAGGAAGCAACTGGAACCCATGTGCTTGGAGAACGCTGGCATCGCAGACGCATTCGCTGGCGGCGGCGAGCCCGAGGAGGTGCCCGACGGAGTGCGCGAGGGCCCCGAGGGTGGGGGAGATGATGATCTGTGCGGCGACGACGGCGACGACATATATCACGCTTTGGTTGAAGAGCTTGCGGGAGAGGTCCAGGGCGATGACCACGTCCCAGGCGTCTTAGACAAGGCCGAGGAAGATGGGGTGGAGAGGGTCGCCAAGGGCGACGTCTTGAAGACTGCCGCCGCGACCTCTAAGTTGTCACCGGCAGAGCTCGAGAAGAGGATCGATGAGTGTTTCAAGGACCAGGGGAAAGGGCCCAGGGGCCCGGGGGGGGGGAAGGAGGAGGAGGGGGAGGGGATGATGAAGGGGGGGACGGGGGGAAGGAGGGGGAGGGAGGATGAGGTGGGAGGGGGCGAGGGAGGAGGAGGTCCATCCTCCTCCGGACTGCACCTCCGCCTCCCCCTGCCCCATTCCCCCCTCCCCCCTCCACCCCCCCTCCTCCCCCCTCCCCTCCCCCGCGAGAAGGAGGACCCCACCCCTGCTTTTCCCACGCGCTCCCCCCCCACTTCCCTGCCCGCCCCGCCGCGCACCGGCAGGAGACGTACGGCGGCGAGGAGATCAGCGAGGACCAGCAGCTGCGGGACACCCATCTCGTCCTGGCCCTCAGCGAGGCTGTGACGGCGGCCACCCCCGCGTCCTCGAGCTCCTCTTCTGGCGCCGCCGCTCCCCCGCCCCCTGCCGCTGATCCGCCGCTCGCCGCGGGCGCAGCCCGAGCTGACGATGGAGCTGGCGCCGCGGGGGGGGAGGGGGGGGGGTCGCGGAGGGGGGCCGCCCCCCCCGGCCGCCCCCTGGAGCCTTCGTCGTCGTCGTCCTCCTCCTCCTCCTCCTCCCCCCCCTCCTCTTCCTCCTCCTCCTCCCCCTCCCCTCTCCTCCTCCTCGATTCGACTCGTGATTAAGGGGCGGGGCGTGATGGAATGGCTTCAACAGAGCCCACTGCAACGCATAAGGCGAAAACGACGTGGTCTAAGACGGCCCCTTGGGGCCCTTGGGGGCTCTGAGGGCAGATCTCAAACCTGGAGTGCACGCAGCATTCGCCGCCAAGTTCCCTCTGGTTTCAATGCAGTTGTCAGGTTCGGCTAGAAAAGTTGCGTCCGCCACGTTTCCATTGGTTTCCGTGCATTTTGCACGTCGTGAGACTCGAGAGCCCGTGAGAGCATGCAGATGGGGGGGGATTACGCGTCGGATGTCGACCTCCAGGGGCCAAGGCCGCCTTGCCACCCACCTCCCACGATGCA